AATAAAAAAATGCATGTATGCAATCAAAATGCTTTTTCTCTTTTTTCTTTTCTTATTGTCTTACGTTATTGTGATTAATGAGAAACTAAAAAAAAATCATGTAGGTACGATTTTTTCGAATTTGAAATTCATGGATATATTTAATTCTGTTTATGAGAAATTGTTTTATAAAACTGATAATTATAATATATAGTCATATAAAAATATGTGTGTCTAAAGAAAGAAAGGTAGAGAATAATATTCTTTATTATACAATTTACTCACTTTCTAGCTTCTGACTATATATCATGTGAACTTAACATGATAATCGTATTATCGGTCAGTTTTATAGCAGGTAACAGACATTTATCATGTCAAGTTCGCTCTAATAGTAAGTCACAATGGAGACTGAAATTTGCTATTTTTTGGAAGCAAAATGAAATATTTATCCGCAGTTTACAAAATGTATAATAAAACAATTACCGAATTCGGTTTTCACATAGTGAAGTCGTACATTATCAAGACCTCTGCTGTTTTATCCGCCGAAGCCCTACACGATCGTAGTCTTGATGATTTACGATATCATGCCAAAACCGAATTCAATAGTTGTTTTTAAAAACATTGCACAACTCTTAACTCACACGTTGATTGGTTACGGAGAGACTACCGGAGAAAAACCTCGAGAAAGAAAATAATAACTAGAGAAAACCCCTCGAAACAAAGGATACAATCAACAATTCTATAGAGTAAGAGTAAATTGAGTAAATTTGTTATGTTACAGCAAAAAGTTTTTTTTTTAGAGTGCTAGCATAGAGCTATTTCAAAAAAGGCTGCCAAGTTAGTATATTAGGTCATTCTAAGATCCAAAAATATTTGGAAGGACTAGAGTTTCTTATTGTTATTTTTGTCAGTAACCAGAGGTTATTGTTGAGATATTTAATCTTGTTTGAAGTCGATAAAACCAGATTTAGAACATCACTATTATTTGTGTTTAAAGTATGCCCACAGTCCTTTTCGGTCGTGCGATTGCTAATCACCGATTGTCTCAACCTTCTTGAAATCGCTGTATGAGTGTCGCTTCTGCGGAGGTAGTATATTGTATATACTTGTGTTATATTAATTATTACTGAATTATGCTTGGTCTTTTCACAAGCAACATGCTGAAGCCACTTCTCGTAATCATAAGATAAATAAATGATAATATAATAATAAAATAATAAAATAATAGAAGGATACAAGAAAGAGTAAAAAAGTCTTAATCAAGGATAATAATAACCTTTAGAACTGACTTTAAGGCAAATTAACACTTATTATAAAATGTATAAATTATAAATTATTTATAATTTAAATAATTTTTTTCAAAGTGGTTAAAAAATAATTAAAACTAGAAGTCGAAAAATAATAAAAATAAAAAAATAATAAGAGAAAAAAAGCAAATGTTGAGGTGAATTTTTTAATAGAAATTTAAGATGCTTCAAAAATTATGATTACAAAAATTTCGAAACAAAAAAAACTTCTTAAAGTTTGTTTTAAAGAGAAAAAAAGTATGAGTAAGATGTATTAAAGAAAATTCACGACCCATGATTCAAATCCTGTTGAACTGCAAAACAACCAGCCAAGATCAAAACCATGGCGACTGTTATCTTAAAATTACACAACCGAAAAAAAACCTTTGTCTAATTTACACGGTTAAATAATCCAATTACTAATACGAACGTCTTTGGTGGCGTTTGTACTTATATTTAGATAGAAAGTTGTTTTATTAACTTGACTGAGAAAGTATTATTTCTTTTCTTTTTTTCTCGTGATTTCTATTCCTCGTAAATCATGTTGATGTTTGCTTGTACTAAATGTGATTATAGTTTACATTTGGAGTCATTATTAAACTGGTAGCTCGATCTCTTAACGTCTGTCGTGAAGGTCTTAGTAAAGCCAGATCCCAATCCGATTATCCAACTTTTCCTCTCCTCTCCTCTCCTCTCCTCTCTTTCCTTCCCAAGTTCTCTTTCTCTTTCTTCATCCTTCTTCTATTCCCTTCCCATCCCATAAAGTCATAAGCCTAATTTTTGAACAACCATAGTCACAAGGTCATTGCTGTTTCCAAGTCAACCTAGTTAACATGATATAAATCCGCTGGTAGTCTAGGAGATTTCAAATTAGTTTGCACAGTCGGTCAAACTAACGAAGAAAAACTGAGATATTGGAGCTATCAGCTCGACACTTATAAACATTTATCAAAAGACATGTTTGAACAGGCCGAGACTAGAATCAGTGCTAAGAGGGAATACTCCTAATACCTCAAGTGGCCTTTTTGTCGTTACTATAAATAAATAACATCGATAAAAATAGGACACGAGACGATGATTTTAGCCAGTTTTGTATGTGATATTTCAAAGCCGACAATGAGAAATGGACGGGATTCGACGGAAGTCCGCGCGCAATTAGTTCCTCGGCTGCGCCAAGGACATGAAACCCCGACCAGTCCGATTTGGAGGCTTTGAAATATTATTTCTCATACTCATTAATAATTCGGGAGGTTATTTGTTTAGGATTGAAAGACTTAAGGGACAGATATGTCCCTGAACTGAACTAATTTTGATCCAGGCTTATTAATTCGGTCCTTTCACAGGACTTTACCAGGTTTTAAGTAACATCATGTGACCCAAAAAATAGCCCATTGATTGGCTGGTTTCCTCATGAATTATGAATGAGTATGACAAAGTGTTTTCAAAAGGTTTTTCTATTCCTACAAATTTCCATTTATTGGACACGAACTTGTAAAAATCATGACGATCAACATGTGAGTAGAGCGTTTTGGATTGTAAATGTAGTGGGATAGTGTTTGTGGAGCGAATCTAACGGAAGAGTAGGATAAATATCAAGCTAAAAATATGATTTTTTACTGATTCGCTCTAGCTGAGATAGTCTTAGCGCATCAAATTAACACTGTACTAAGCTGAGCTCTATTCTATTTTAAACAGTTAAAATTGGGCATTTTAAAACGATCAATAAACTTAAAAAACATTCACGAACAAAAGATATAAACCTAATTTAATTCCAAAGATACAGATACAAAAACTATTATAATTTATACTTTAAAAATCGTTCCTTAATTGGGGAAATAATTAGCATCTGAAGAAATGAGCACAAGCAAACGGAGAAGGAGAATATGAAGTGTGGTTCTTGTACAAAAGCGCGGGCGTAAATCGGCACAATTTCGCGCGCTTTTTTTTTTTTTTTTTTTTTTTTTTCAAAAGACTTCTTAACAGTGAACGTTTTTATAACATCTGTAAAATGAAAAGGAATGACTATAGAAGTAAAGGATTTTTTGATAATTGTAGTGAAGAAGAAAAAATAAATAATAAAACCGAGATACGGACAAAAGAAATGAAAAAAAGTGAATCATTACCGCCCAAGGCAATCAGTAACAGATGTAAATTATTAGCTCGAAATCTTTAGAACTAAAATCGTGGTAATTTGTGACAAAGTGTAGCGGGCACGGCCGAAGTGTTGTGGGCAAATAAATCTTACTGCCATTAACAATAATTTGGATCCAAAAACCCAATATTTGGAGAATCGTTTTTAAAATAACTCAGGTTGATAATAAAAGTTACTCATTGAGCAAACAAAAGCGTTGGAAAAAAATATTATCCAAAAGCCGGATGTTGTTTTCGATCTGCGAGTTCTGCGCTTTACAAAGTAGACAAGGTAAGTACTTGGTATACGAATGAAACTATAACTTTCTTAAAGAAAACGTTATACCAAGAATTCCTACATGAAGTATCATCATGATTACCGTTTCGTTTTTTCAAGATTTTCGCGTTCTCATTGGTTAGTTTTTGATGAGCTGTCAAAATGAGATCATCAAGATGCCGAGAGGATGTAGTCATGTGGTCTGAAACAGCAAAACATACGACAGTCCTAAATAAGGCATTGTGCGACTTCTCGTCTGTAGTATGTCATTGCTGTGTCGCCTAATCTGTCACTTTAACATTCACAATAACTGAAGAAAAAGCTATAGCTGATATATCGTACGTTCATAACTATTTTTACTAACTATAAAGTTTCTTCGCGTTAATCATACTAATTGCTAAGTTAGTTCAATGGAATTGCCCCTACATAAAATTGCAAACAAACCTGTGATTTTTTCAGAAATTTTTTCAAATATAAACCGGAAAAATCAAGATCTAAAATAACTGAAAATTATCTCAATAAAAATTTACCTCGAGAGAGAATTTCCCTTTACGACTTCGTCCAATTTTTCATTAAAGCGGAATTCTAATTAAGCTTTAAATATTCATAATGTATGCTCTGATATGATTGATCACTTTTACTCACCATTTCGAGTGCTATAGACATTCTAATACATTGTTTAAGTAAACGCAAACTTTGATGATTGAAAAGCTGTTCAACACATTTAGCTCGAAATCCATCCTTTTTTGGAAATGTTTTAGCTAAGAATGACATTAAAAATTTCGAAATCTTGATGAAATTTAACTACATCATTTTGAACTCATGCATGAAAATAACGAGTCGAGTCTTTCAGATTCACATCGTTGCCCGTCAATATGCCACAGAGGGTTGAGAAGCCATAATTACTGGAATATATTGAAGTTTGGCATATTTCATAATCCTGACAAGCCGCAAATTACAAGGCCATATGTCGCCCTGGCGTCGTACAAAATGAGGTTGTCAAACGAACGCTATCCAATACAATTAAAGAATTTAATGAAAAATACATCGATAAGTTTAAACAGATGTAAGGGCATTTGAAGTTGGTATTTTTTTACTGCATCAAGCTAAGAAAAAAGGCTTGGGTGGTATAAGAAAGATATCAATGATACATTTCGCTAAAAAAAGTGTGGCGTACCACAGGTGTATATTATAGGTCCGTTGGCCTAAAAAGGCTCTTGAGAACATAAAACAACGCGAATATCAGTACCATGGGTACGATATATTTTTATAAAAAAAAAACAAGAGACAAAAATAATATTATAAAAACTAAAACGGATGTGGCGTACCACAGCGTAAATTATTGGCCCGATGGCTTAGAATTCAAGAGGATCCTACTATAAGGGCATAAAACGAGAATATTCGCTAAGTAAAGTAAAAATAACTATAGCAAGAAAACAGGAAATAATAATACTATCAAAAAATACGTGGTATGTCACAGGTGTAGAATATTGGTTTTCTAACTTAAAGATGCTCTTAAGTGTATAAGACGAGAATATTCACTTATCGAATAATAAGAATTCATATCATCAAAAGAGTATCGTGTAACACAAACAGGAACATGAGTTCATTCCAAGGGAGTGAATGAATAAAGCTGTGGTGTCCCACAGAATAGGGTATGGGTCCGCTGACTAGGAGGGGAATATGAGAAAAAAGAAAGAAGTTTCGTAAGTCAGGGTTGACACCTAGGCTTCCTAATTCAATTTATTCCTAAAGCGTTTACACCAAAGAAAGGAAAACAACTCAAGGGAATAACAAAAGGTTTGAAATGCGCGAAATTTACGCYTACAGTATGAGGGGCTGTACATAAAGAGACTTCAATTTTTATGGAAATAGACATAATAAAAACAAGAATGTATTACCTTAGCTTTAATATCGAATTACTCTTCCAGTGCGATGATCCAATGTACAGAAAGTAATCTTATTATCATCATTACTGGCCAAGCATCGAAAGAGTTCCAGTTTCACAGAATACACGAGTTTTCTCTGCACGTTTCGTCTAAATTGGCCAAGAAAAACATTATTAGATCATCAATTCACCTAAATTTCCAATTTTCATTTGGCCTGGCTATTGTATATGTTATGTTCCATTCCTTTCGTATCTGGTCCCCTTTTGACCTCATGTTCCATTCATTCAGTATCTGGACCCCCTTTGACCTCATGTTCCATTCATTCAGTATCTGGACCCCCTTTGACCTCATGTTCCATTCATTCAGTATCTGGACCCCCCGCTTTGACCTCATGCTCCACTCATTCAGTATCTGGATCCCCTTTGACCTCATGCTCCATTCATTCAGTATGTGGACCCCCCGCTT